CATCTTTAAGGAAATGCCGAGGACACAGCACTGCGGGAGGAAGATGCTCCCTGTCCATGCTCTGATAGAAATCTCTGCTTCTCAATGGGAGAGTTCCAAAGAGAGCCAAGAAGGATGTGGAATAACTCAGTCTCTGTTTGCCCAGTCTGGCTGGATTTGGGGACTGGTGCCTAGTCCTGCTCCTGCGCCCCTGGAAACCCACAGGTTCAAGAAGCACTTGCCCCTGGCTTCCCTTGGGCCCTCATAGAACCTTGGAGCTCTGCGCTGAGCGGCGCTTTCCTACATTTTGTTTGCACTGTGACCGTAGAGCTCTGGAGCTACTGAACTCAGAACAAAAACAATAGTATAACAGCAACTGTGTGTTCTGGGTATGGTTTCAGGCACTTGACTTAAAAGAATTTAGTTAAGCTTCACTCCAACAGTGTGAGGCAGAGACTACCAGTATCTCCACTTTATAAGTAAGTCTACTGAGACACAGAGAAGTTGAGCGACTAGTCCAGTGTCACGCAGTTCATAATGGTGGAGCTGAGATTTGAGCCCCACTGCTCAAGTATACGTGTTGAATTAAATAAATAGAAAGGTACTATGAATGCCTGGGCCCTACTGCTTGGCAGCTCCCCAATTCCTAGTTTTTATTTAAGTCTCCTTCCGGTGTAGAGCCCTATCCTATACCATCCAGGTCTCTTTTTGGAGGTGGGAGGAGGCTCCAGATCTTTCCTGATTTCCTAAGACCTTCATATGTGCTCTCCTCTTTCAGCCCACATAGACTTTTCAAACGTTTTCTCTTCTGAGGGGTTTCCGTGGCCATAACCTACTCTACCACCCAATTAGACCTGACCCTAATATCAGGGCCAGCTTGGGTTTCACCAGGATTGTTTCTGTGGACCCTGGGAATCGCAGGGCCATTGTCATTCTATGCCTGCAGTGACCTTGCTGCATGCGTTACCTGTGAGGAGGCCTGGGTAATGATGATTTGTGGGGTGTGGTTTTATGGGGTTCAAAGTGCTAACTAGATACTTTAATTACCAAAACTTCCCTGGGGAGGGTGCCCCCGAAGTCTCTGTCCTCTAAGGGTGGCAGGAGATAGAGCCCTGGGAGTGGGCTGGGGGTTTCCTATCTTATGGGAGGGGTGCATGGTGGCCCCTTCTGCAGTGGAGCTCATGGGGGAGGTGTGGTATGACTCCCACACCGTGTGACCAAGCTGGGTGGTTGGGAGCCCCACCTCTATGGCCCACTAGCGTCCCACTAACTATCAGCTGGTGCCAAAGCAATGGTGGTGGAGGAAGTTCCTAAGAGGCTTTTCACTTGAAAATGGCTCCACAGATGGATGGTGTCGCTGACTGTGGAGGCATCCGGCACTGCCCTGCAGCCTTCCTGCCAGCCGCCGCATCTCCAGGGTGTTTGCCCAACACAACACCATGCTCTCTCCAGATTGGCTGAAGCGTGTGCCCTGCAGGGCAGGCAGGGTGCCCAGGAATCTGCATTCCACCAAGCTCCTTGGCCCAGTACCATCTGGTTTGAGACCTTGTTATGGTGGCCTGTGCCTGTAATCCCAGCATTTGGGAGGCTGATGCAGGAGGGTTATGGTGAGCTCCAGGACAGGCTGGGCTACAGAGTGAGTTCAAGGCCAGCCTGAAGTACATAGTGAGACCCTGTCTCAAAAGAAAAAAGGTGTGATTGCGGTATAGTATGTCCAGTGACATGGACAGTAACTAAGACAGACCCACTTGGCTGCAGTGAGTATCAATGCAGAGGAAATTTTCCTAGGTTTGATCTGAGCTCTGTCTTCCTTTGGCTGAGGCCTAGGTCCTGAGAGCTAAACGGAGTGGCTTACACCATTTTTGTAGTTGGCAGAACATGGGGACCAGTAGGCGGGGCCGAGTGGACATAGTAAGAAGAGCTGCTGCTTCCTGCTGGGCACCCTGACAGAGACAGTGGGTGCAAACACTACTGACAGCCCGAGCCTCCTCCCTGCAGAGTGGGATGCCAAGGGCTGTACCCAGGCAGGTGGCCCTGGTGAAGCTCAGCAGCTCAGCAGTCTTGCCCAACAGCTGCCACCTGTTACCTGCCACCTGCTCTGCCTTTCAGCTGGGCTGCTGGGGTGAAGCCCATGTCTGCATACAGAGCAGGCGTGAGAGGGGAGTCCTGAGTGGGTCCTGGAGGGAGGGGTGGGCGGGGACTGGGGGCTACAGGATTTGAAGGGAGGAGGCATCACAGTCCTGAGGTCCCTTGACTTAGAACCATTCCATCCACAGCTGCTCTTGCACTCCAGCCTCAGAATTGCTGAGAGGACCCTCTCGCAGGAAGCCTGTGAGTGCAGGGAAGGCTGTGAATGTGACCTTCGAGCAACACTCCTCCTTCGAGCCTTCCATGCTTGTGAGATTCACCCAGAAGACCACAGCGGTCCAGCCAGGGAGGCTGATGTCTTGTGTGCCAGTCACTCCCCTCCCTGCCCCTTGGCGTGACCTTCCCTGCCTCTGCCCTTTACATGGTTTCAAAGCTCCTCCCCAGCAGAGAGGCCCCTGGGGGAACAGGAGCTGACTCAGGTGCTGTCCAAGACCCTGCTGCTGGAGTCTCCTTAGAGTGAGGCCATCCAGTCCCAAGCAGTCTGCTGATAGGAGGGCTGCTCCCGGAGCTTCCTGGGAAGGGTTCTGGTCTTGGGCCAAAGGTGGGTTGCCAGGGTAACACCCCCTTCCCCACCCCCACTTTGGTGTGAGCTTCTCCACTAGTTAGACTGGATGCCCTTTCATCCACCCATATAGCTGGCAGGGAAGACACAGCCCTTGGGCCCAGGGTTTTTTCCACATCTTCCAGAATGTTCTCAATGGGCCATCTCATCGGAGCATGGCTGGGACCACATGAAATAGGCAGCATATTTTGCATATTATGGATAAAAGCAAAATACTCAGGGGGTGCCAGAGATCAATGACTTGGTAACCAACTGTGACCCAAACCAGATCCAAACTTAGTTTTTCTCATTCTGGGTTCCCACTGTCTTTGGGGTGGAGGGCTTAGCCCATTTTTTCTTTGCAAAAGCCATCTGTGGGTTTTCTAGGCACAGATTCATGAATGTTCCAGGCTCGTGTGGGTTTCCCCAAAGTACATTGTCAGGCACTCTTGAACAAAAGATCCCATAGTTGAATGAAGTTGAGAAATAAATGCATATTTTATACAGTTTGTGCTCTGTTTCTGTGAGTTCCTAATCCTTGGATTCAATCAATTACAGATCGACGAATATATAAATTTTATCTGTACTGAACATGTACAGACTTTTTCCCTTGTCATTATTCCCTAAACAATGCAGTATAGCAACTATTTACATAGTACGAGGTATTGATAATCCAGAGATGTGTTAGATATTAGTACTGTGATCCCTCACCTATCACCAGAGTTATGCTCCAGAGACCCCTGCAATAGGTGAAAATCTGCAAAGTAGCAGCATTATATTTACTTTATTATTTATATATAGTTTAAGGCTTTGTAAACCTCTCCCACACTCCTATAAACCTTTCCCACTCTCTTATTAACCTTTCCCACACTCTTGTAAACCCTTCATATGCTCTTAAATACTTTCTACACTCTTAAACCTATATAATTTTAACAACATGTAAAATTCTATATGGGTACTCAATGTGCAGTGGACAAGAAGAGATACTGAACATATGGGCACAGTACAGGAGAGCAAACAGACCGATGCTATGGTCACCGAGCCAATGAGCACCCAGGATACAGTGCCGTGGTTGATCACCTTCCATTCCATCAGCCAATAGCGTGCTGTGTGCAATCTCACATTGGCAAATCTGAGCGAGCGGTAGTAGAATACTGCATTTCCATTGTGTACAGTATGGTATTTATCCACTGATGAAATACATACTGTATTTTATTTTGATTTCATATTCTTTTAATATGTTTTTATATTTTTATAGTTTTATATTATTTTAATATTTTTAGGCAAAAATAACTAAAATCATAAATATTATATAAATACCTACATACTGCAAAATCCCACGATATAGCAAAAACTCTGCAATACAGAATTAGATATATATATTTTTTAAAAACCCGTGATACAGTGAAACCACAATAAATGAACCATGATATAGTGAAGGATGACTGCAATCCAGAGATAATTTAAAGGATTTGGGAGGATATGTGTAGGCTCTAAGCAAATACTACATGATTTTATGCAAGGAACTTGAGCACTAGTAGATTTTGCTATCCATGGGGGTTCCTGGAAGCCACAATGCCCTGACAACGTGCATGGATGATTGTAGTGCATACTAGACAGTAAAACCTTGAAAGGCCATTGAGTGAGGATGAGATCAATTCAGTTTAACCCAGAAGCTCACAAACTTGTTTGTAATATCGCTTCTCCCAAACTCCAGTGCCCCTTAACGCTCCACTAGATTTGTGTTTATTGGACCTGGTCTGGAAAGAGTGAGCGGGACACCTTCACAACAATCAAGATGCAAAGATGAGGGCCGCTATGTGTTTCTGTACAAAGAAAGGAAAATCAGCAAGCTGCCTCTATGCTCCTCACCCCAGCAGGAGGAAGATCCCCCACGGGACACCCCCCAGGCAGTGCTGCTACCTGGATTCCAGAGTCACACAGCTCCCCAACCTAGTGGTGTGCTGGTGCCGGGTGTTATGCTTTCAGAACTTTTGTGAGGCAATTCTCAATTCATTGTGACCTTGAAGTTGACCATGGAAGGAGTATCTGTATCTACAGATCAGCAAACACTAAGCATCGGGGCTGTCTCTTGCTCTTCTCCCGAGAGCTGGATTACCTGTGCACCCACTACCAGTCCTCAGACATTTTTTGAAATCGTTAGATTTCACTTTGGAGGAGCAGTGACAGCTGAGTGCTGGGGGCCATTTGACACAGAAGTCCTTGCTTACCCTGGTCTCTAAGCCTTCTGAGTGACAGCTGAGATGGCATGGGATCATCACCTTCCAGCCACAATCTCAAGTGAGTCAGAGGTGTCAATGGGTCTGCTTACCTGGATATCTGTCACTAGCCAATGTCTCCAGAATCTTGCTGTGGGATTGTACCTGCTGGGAGCATCCGGATCCACCATCACCAGGATGTACTTTCTATCCTGTAACACATGCACCAAAAAGTAATGTAGCATCATGGTCAAAATTTTGATAGGAGAACCCCAAAAGAGCAGATGCTCCTTTACCTCTATTCCAGCTGAGAATGACAGCCAACCCCTATCTCTTCCTACCCAGCCTGTCTTTTTTTCTCACAATAGTCATCTCATGTCACACATTTATCCTCAGAGAAATAAAATCTGTACAACAGACGGCAAGACTCTTGGCCTCCCCTTGATGAAGCAATAAACCCAAGGCATATTTCCTAAGCATCCAGAGGTCCCTGGCACCATGTTAGCTGCTAGGGTGAAAATAAAGAAGCCTACAAAGGGCATCTGCCCCCTAGGAGCACCCAGTACAGATGGGGGGACTCAGCTATTGTTTCAGCAAATAAATGGGACTCGTTCTGTGTCAGGCCCACTAGGACCCATTCATCTTTTAATAAGCATTAGCTGAACATGTGTTATGTGCCAGAGTCTATTCCAGATGCCAGGAAATCAACAGAACACAAGACAGTAAGGTTCATACTTTCAGGAAGCTTTTATGTTAGACACAGATAATAAAAATAAATAGCTGATGTCCAGTTGTGATCAGGGCTCAGATGAAAGTGAAATGGGGCTGGGGGGATGAGAAGGAGCAAGCATTCCATGAAAAGCAAAGAGCCGCTGCAGGTCTTCAGGCGGAGAAGGGGAACAGGTGATCTGAGGAACAGAGAGAGCTCTACTGTGGCCAGGGACACACAAGGAGCTTAGAGAAATGGGGTGCCATGGGGTATGTTGGGGGCCAGGCACAAAAGGCTTTTCAGGCCTGAGCAAGGAGTGGGAGTTGATCCTCAGTGCAGCAACAGAAGCACTAGGGGTTTTAGGTAGGACAGTGGTGTGCCTTGATTTGCAGTTTTGGAAGACTGTTTTGGCTGCTGCGGGGAGAATGAATAGCTGGCAGATGACAGTGGCGGAAGTGGTTAGGACACCACTACACCAGTGCAGTGAGAGTGTCTTGGACACAAGTGGCAGCAATGACAGAAAGAAATAGATGGATTGGGGAAATACTTTCAGGGAGAATTAGCAGGGTTTGCTGGCGGGTTGGAAGACAGGGCGGTAAGAAGGGGTTGGAGACAGAAAAACTGAGGAGGACTTTTGTCTTTTGTCTTGAGCAACTGGGTCATTGAATGATGCAGAGAAACCTTGGAGAGGAGACCATTTGGAGGGAGACAGGGGGACATTGAGTGTTCTGCTTCAGACCTTTCAAAAGAGAAATGCCTCCAGGAAGAGTCAGAGTTCTGGGTAGCTATCATGGCCAGATACATACATTTGGGGGTCATTAAAATAGAAACAATCTTTACTTCTAAAGAGCAATGAGTTTACTCACAAGCAGTATAGATACAGAGAAGAAAAGGGGTTTCAGGACCAAATGCTAGGACATGCTAACACTGGGAAGAGAGGCGAATCTGGCCAAGGAGATGGAGTGGGTGCACCTTAAGAGCAGGTGATATGAAAAACAAGACAGAAGAGGTTGCAAGAATGTGGTCACCCCTGCCAAGGGCTAAAATGAGGACGCAGGTATGACAATGCGACCCGACAACTTGCAGATCCCTGTTATCTGGACAAGACCAGCTCCAGTGGAGCACAGAGGACTGACACTTGATTAGACGAGGTGGAGATGAGATGGGAGATGGTGTTAAAGATGATGATGATAAAGAGGAAGTTTTGGTGTGAAGAGGAGTCAAGACATGGACTTCATGGCTGTAACTTGAAGTCAGGAGATACTTTTCTCTTTTCTCTTTTTTTTTATTTTTTATTTTTTATTTTTTTGGTAGCAAGCTTCAAAGCATGGCTTTATTTATTTTTTTTTATTTTAAAGATAAAAGGAGGGAAACATTAACAGACATACAACATTTTACAACATATCACAAGCCAATACAGACAATACAGAGTTACAAACAAAGTGGTAGGGAATTAACAATGGTGGTTGTATTACATATTGATATCTTCAAAGTGGCTTCTCATGAAAACAGATATAAACATGCAATACTGGTCTACCAAAGACTCATTGACAGTTTCTTTCAGCATAGAAATAGAAGACAGAAGAACAACCATGTTATCTATCCTGTATATACATACATACAAAATTTCTCCTTCGTTCCCTTCTCTTTTCCCACATCCCAGAAGCCCTTTACTCTTCAGTGGTTTCCTATCATTTCACAGTGTCTATCATACCTCCGAGTTTAAATTAACTCTTTCAAGTTTTACACTAGTGACACAATGTGGTGCTTGCACATGTATGTTTGATTTATTTCACTTATGAGTATGGTTTCTAGTTGTGACCATTTAAATATAAAGGCCTCGAGTTTATCTTTCTTTACAGCTGAGTAATATTCCATTATATAAAAGTACCATAATTTTCTTATCCAATCCTCGGTGGATGGACATTTGGGTTGCTTCCACATTTTAGCAATTACAAATTGTGCTGCTATGAACATAGGTGCACATATATCACTGTGATATGATGTTTTTAGATCTTCTGGGAAAATACCCAGCAGGGGGATAGCTGGGTTGAATGGGACCTCTAAACCTAGTTTTTGGAGGAATCTCCAAACTGATTTCCACAGTGGTTTCACCAGTCTGCATTCCCACCAGCAGTGGAGAAGGGTTCCTATTTCTCCACAGCCTCCTTTTCTCTTTTTTAAAGAGATGGATGACAGGAATGTTTGTAAGCCAAATAGAAATGATCTTGTAGAAAAGCAGGCACAGATGGAAAGAGAAAGGGCAAAGCTCTGGGAAGATGGGAGGGGACAGGTGCCAGAGCAAAAGTGGAGGGCTGGGCAGCTTTAGACAGGAGCAGGGGATGCAGATTCAGTTACAAGAGAACTGGAAGATATGGTGCAGAACGAAGACACGGTCTTCCAAGTGCCTCTATTTTCCCATGAATTGGAGGCGAGGCCACTGGGAAAGGGGGGCTATGGGAAATCAGGGCACAGAAAAGAAGGTACGAAATAGTCATGTAAGAAAATGGGAAAAGGAATATCCTCTAGATAGACAGCTGGGTTACAAGGGCAGCACCTTTGGGAAGTTGTCCTTGGCAGTTACTTCTGCTTCCCCTTCCCCTTTCCTTTCATCTCTAACCCGTTTGCCAGGTTTATGTCCCTTCCTTTTTGCCTCGCATTCTAAATTCTAAAGAGAAGCCCCACCAGATAGTAAAGTCATTAACTGCTAAGTGAATTTAGATTTGCAGAACTTCAGGTTGACAGAACAAGAACATCTGATGACCTCTGTAACTCCCTCCTTAGTCTCTAGTTCTGTAAGTCACTACAGAGTTTAGAACATAGGAACTAGACACAAGAAGTTGAGGCTCATTGTGATGTTCTAGACAGAGAAAAAGAAAGAGCCACAGGCCCTGGAGGAGGAAGGCACTGCTCAGCATGTAGTCTTCATGCCCAGTACCTCCCTTCCCTCCTTATAAAAGCCCTTTGACCCTCAACCTCAAAAACAGAGCTGTGAGAAGAGCACCCCTCATCTTCAGGGCCATCCTTGAATCTTTCGTACAAACTCTTGTCTCCTGAGTATTGGCCTTTGAGCGGCAGGCAGCCCAGACCTTAATTCTGATAGCAACATCACATTCACAGTTGAATGATGATGTTTAACTGTTCACGTATAGGCATGGCATAAGCGGTCATTGGGTTTAACTTGGATGGTGACTGAAACTGATGAGAATGATGACAGAGAGAAGGGTGGAAGAGGAAGAAGTGAGTAAGATGAACAGAAGACCTGGTACTGGGAAAAAAAAAACAAACAGATGAACAGAAGAGTCCCGGCACTCCTCTTAGCCTGGACATACACGCCCTCCATTTCATAGGTCATTTAGGATTTCTTACGCCCCAGGACCTACTGAGAAGGTTTGAGCAGACAATTGACATGCTTGATTGTGTGCTTTTGGAGGATACATGATGAGGATAGAGTCAAATGATAAAAGCAGAGAGGAAAAAGATAACTGCAATGCTCTGAAGAAAGAGAAGAGGGACTTCCATTCAAATAGTACAGTAAGGATAAAAAGAAAGGAGAGACACATACTGAGACTCATCAGGGAACTTGATAAGGCCAGACGTGGGAGGGGGTGAATTCAGATGGCTCTGGGCGTCTGTCTTTGGTGGCTGGTGGCGAACAGTGCCATGACCATCAGGAAGAACAGAGCTGGGATGGGGTGGGGCCGTGTTGAAACATACAAGCAGAGATGTCCTTTGCCTGGGGTAATGGAGCAATGAGGTTGGCATGTGGGCAGTGGACCTGGGGGTGGATGAGATCATTCAGGGGGAACTTGTGGAGTAAGAACTGAAGGAAGAGTAGTATGTAACTAGGGAATTCAAGGCATAGGGAGAGGAAGAGGCTGAGAAGAGAGTTAGGAGGACAGCCATGGTCATGGCTAGATATAAAATTTCCTCCCAGACTCCCACATGTGTGGAAGGTGATTGGTCACGGGTGCCATACTTCTCAGTGGACTCAGGCATTCATGTGTTCAGTGGCTGAACTGTTAGGAGGCGGCGCCTGGCTAGAGGAAGGTCACTGGGGATGTGATCAGGAAGGATGTATGCTCATCCCTGTCTCCTCCCTTCCCTCTCTGCTTCCTGGCAACCACGGAGTAAGCAGCTCTCCTCTGCCAGGCCCCTCCACCTGCCCTTCCCCCCTTGAAGTCAGCCAACTATGGACTGAATCCTCTAAAACTGTAAGCTAAAATAAACCTCTCCAGAAAGATCACCAGTTGTAACCAGCAGGGACCACTAGCAACTGTCCAAAGAGAAGAAGTCCAGAGATAAATCACCAATCGTTGAATGTTAAAATCCAAAAGGAACAGTGGATCATGTATTAGGTGCCACAGGAAATTAAACCAGAGACTGTGAAGGTAAACTCAAGAATATCTCCAAGGACTTAGAGGAAAAGATAAATAAATGAAACTATTAAGCTATGTATGATACCTGTAGAATTTCAGAATGAGAAAACAAAGCATAAATACA